CTGGGGAATTCTGGGAGTTGGACTCCACACATCTGAAAGCTGCCAAGATTGAGAAACACTGACATAACCCTAAATTTTCCCCAGAGAAGTCTCATTGGGTTCAGGGAATATGCATTAGGCTACTCATGAGCAATTCAAAACTAGCAAATACTTTCCCTGCAAATGTGAAAATTTGGCTAGGCATCTGTAATGAGAATGGGAAGGAAGAGAACTATACTGTAGTTTTTCTTAAAAAAGAAAGAAAAAATCGTGTTCGGTTTTGACAAAATGTGTGTTTACGAAGGAAGAGCTATAGAAACTCCATTTGGGGTCATTTGCTTGCTAAAGTTCAGCATTCTGCTTTAAATATGGATGATATCAAATGCATTTAGCCAACATTTCGAAGACAGCAGAGCAGAGCAACTTGAGATAAAGAACAAACATTGGCTTAGCATAAAGTACTCGTTTAACATACTTAGATTGCTATGAATATATTTGGTAGGAAGGTTTATATTCCTTCGCAATGAATATACTGGTTGCCAATTTCTTTCCAAGCACAGCTTACGGCGTTCGCATTACCCATTTGGCCCAGTAGGAGGCAGCACATAGCCAACCTTGTTTGGGTTTGGTTGCTAAGCAGGATCAGTCCTGGTTAGGCTTTGGATGGGAGACAGCCAGGAAATCCCAGGGACTGTAGGCTAATCTGAGAAATTAAAAAAAAAAACAAAAACTCCCAGAATTTTTTTTTTGGGGTAAACTCTTCCATACTGTTACCCCTGGAGTCTAACCTGCTCTGAGCATGCATCCCTTATGAGATAGACCTGTCACCTGCTGTGACATAACTTGAGTACAAAAAATGATTAACTCTATCACTTAAAAAAGTCTAGCAGATGCCCAGAAATCCTTGGGCTATGAGCATTTCCACTGTCTTAAAAGTGCCACTGAATTGTACAAAAAGCTGAAGTCAGACCTCCCCAACTTAGAAAATGTACCTTGGGGCTGGGAGCTTGATAGAATCAGAGAACTACAGAATGGTAAAGTTGGAAGGGACCAGGAGGATGGTCTAGTCCAACCCCTTGCAATAGGCAGGCAAACTGATTAAACCATCTATGAGATGGTTGTCCAGCCTCTTCTTCAAAACTTCTAGTGATGGGGGTACGGTCTCCATCATTTATTTATTTATTTAT